AAGAACAAGGAGACGCCCGCGAGGAGGATGTACTATGAGACCGAAGAGGCGAGAAGACAATGGTGCCCGTGCTTAATAGCTTGAATGGAACTGATGTCATTCACAACGGCCTTTCGCGAACTCTCTAAAGGGGCGGCGACGACTACATGTGTATAACAACAAGCGCTGTCGAGCAATTATTTACTTATATCACAAGGTTAATGCATGGTTTGGTGAATACATGGTTTGATTTGGAATCAGATTAGACTTAGGAAAAGACTAAACCACCCTTTTGCATGGAGGGTTGATTTGAGCGGTACTTCCACTTATACTTATGAAGTACTGGTGGTACTATAAATATCCTCTTGCATCCATAGTTGTGCAGAGCTAGAATCACAAGCGAAATCAGGCTCAATCTATAACTACAAATGTACGGGGATGACCACGACTTGTTCATGACGATCTAGAAAAAAACGCAACATACTTGGACTGAGCGATGACTCACATGTGCAAGAATACAAGTAGTCGGGGCATGGGAGGGGACAGAGGAACAATGAGGGCACTGAAATGGAGGGACGGTGGTCATGGTATGAAGGGGCGCATCTCCATGACCTACAACGACAAAGGGCATGGTGTCGCATGCGATAGCTCTATGACCCGTTGAAGTGGGGAAGGGGGGGATGGAAGCAGCAGGAGCATCACATAGGAGGGGCGGTGGGAACTGTATGGTCTAAAAGGTGCGTCATCATGACAGTGGCGGCGCCAGGAATTGCTGGCTGGGTATTCACCCAATTTTTTTTACTCTAAATGCAATATATGACCAAATAGTACGAGAATTTCAATATCTGAACCAAATAGTGCGGCTATTGCAATATATGAACAAAATAGTACGCCATAATGACAATAGAATTTTTTGGACGTGTCAAACCATAATAATTATAAAAAAACATGGATACAAAAGTACCTTTTGATTGATAAAATGATGATATGATTGATATCCGACCTTACAATATAACTTTGCGGTTGCCTTTCTGGAAACGATTGATGACATCTTCATCCTTTACTTGATTGAAGAATTCTCTCTCAACAAATGTAACCAAACAATTGCTTAAGTAATCATCACCCATTTTGCTCCTTAGCTTATTCTTCACATAATTCATTGAAGAGAATACCCTTTCAACACTAGCAGTAGCAACTGGCAGAATCAATACCAACTTAAGAAGCTTGTAAACAATATGATATTGTTCATGCTTGTTTGTCTCTACAAGCATAACTGAAAGTTGACACAGATTCTTTAAGTTTTGAAACCTTTCATCTCTACGCACATGAGTAACATACATGTTTAGTTGCCATGGAAGTCTTGCCAGTTCATCACTTGTGAAATCATTAGCATAAAATTTTGTAGCAAGCCTAACCAACTTCTCCTGATCATAAGCAGCAAATAGACGAAGTGGACAAAATGCTGCCATGCAAGAAAGTAGCTCTGTGTTTACCTCATCAAATCTGCCATTGAGTTCACTTATTTGCCTATGAATGACAGCCACAAACATATCAACTTTGAAATGGTGGTAATTCATCGCACCATTACATAAACCCCTTTTAGGCTGGCCAACGGGAAAGTAAGGACCCTTCATATCAACAACTTTGATCTTATGCTTTGTACAAAAACATGTGACCTTTGTGAGAAAATCATCCCATCCAACGTCGGTCCTCAAACACTCCAAGTGATACTTTGTGACATCAACAAGCTCAATAGCATGAAGAATATCTTCATCTTGCTTTTGCAAAGCTCTACATAGCTCATCCGTGTATCCAAATATTTCTTGCATCAAGTGTGCTATGAAAACAAACTCAAATGATCGAAATGGTGTCAATATAGATAGAGCCGCTTGGGCCTCCGCACCATGATACTCATCTCCAATCTTGATGAGGACTCGTCGTAGTGCACCATACATAGAGATGACATGGTTCACGGTTTTGAAGTGAGAGCCCCAACGTGTATCACATGGCCTTCCCAAACCCATTTCCTGATTCAGCCCACTCCCTGTTTCCACTTATTCCAATTCCAATGCATCAATGAGTTCCTCGGCCTGAGCTATCCGAAGCATTCTCATCTTTTTACAATACATGCTAAGAGCATTTAACAAGTGTGCAAGTTGCTGAAAGAACCAAGTGCAATCACCACTCTCCTTAGCAACAGCAACAAGAGTTAACTGTAGTTGATGAGCAAAACAATGAACATAATAGGCAGAAGGGGACTCATCCATAATCAGTTTTTTAGGCCATTAACATTACCTTTCATGTTACTAGCTCCATCATATCCTTGCCCACGAACCATTGCAAAGGTTAAATTGTGTGTCATAAGCAGTTTCTGAATTGCAGCTTTAAGTGTCAAAGAGGTAATATCTTCAACATGAGAAAGACCAAGGAATCTTACAACCGCCCTTCCTTTCTTTTCAACATAACGCAAGCAAACAGCCAACTGTTCATTCTGATACACATCACTAGACTCATCTGCAAGTATTGCAAAATGACCACCATCAAGTTCTTCAATGATTAGTTTAGTAGTCTCCTCTGCACAATTTTTTATCACCTCTTGTTGTATATCATGGTGAGTCATCTTGCAGTTTTGTGAAGCATTCTTGAGAACAACCCTGTCAACCTCTTCAAAATTTCCCGCTAGCCAATTTAAAAGCTCAAGGAAATTTCCTTTGTTTAGTGAGCTTTCACTTTCATCATGTCCTCTAAATGCCAAGCCTTGGTGCAATAGAAATCGCACACATTTGAGTGTCCATGTCAAACGCTGCTTATACAAAGCCTTGTATTGTGAGGTGTTTGAAGCAATAGAGTCCCGAATTGATGATTGTGGTGTAGTGAACATATCATACTTCTCCTGAGCTTGAGCATGAGCACTACTAACATCACCTTCATGTTTCTTCAATCTCGACTTCATGTTCCAGTTCCTAAATCCCTTCTTCACAAAAGCATCTCCACCGGGACATTTTGTTTTATCCTTGAACAAATAGCAAACAAAACAGAAAGCACTATCTTTGCCCACACTATACTCAATCCATGGAAATTCTTTAAACCAAGCAATACAAAAGCGACACTCTTTTCCACTTTTATTTGTAATGTAAAACTTATGTTCTTTTGGTTGACATCGCCCCATCTCAATATATCTCCCTCTTACTCTATCTTGGTCATTGATAGCATACGCTGAGATGGGAATCCGCTTCCCAGGATCGGGTTCAAGTGCATCAAAATCTGCTTGCATTGGTTCATCATCTTCATCAATAGATTCATCATCTTCTACATGAGGTGTTGAGGTTTCGCCTCTACTCTTTGGTTGTTGCCATAACACCAACTACAAATTGCTCTCATTCCTCTCAAGATGAACAGGAGAAGCAGAAGTACTAGATGCAGCTGCTGCCTGATTCGGTGTGGATGACTCATCTCTTTTCTTTGTCTTTGAAGCCTTTTCCCACATTGCAAATATGCTACTGCCAGCAATCTTATTTTTCTTCATCTACAGTACAAGAAAACAAAGAAACAGAAAAATTAAAACTTGCATCTAGTCCATTATAGAAACAAATCCAGAAATTAGAGGCATTGGAATCAGCCACTGATTGGAATTGGAGGAGAACTGGAGGAGGGGACGAACCAGAGGACTAGGACGAACTGCTGCTGCTCGGGGACGAAC